CACAACCTCTTTCTTAGTTTTAACTTTTATTGCCAGGTTGTGAAGTTCAATAGTTATCCCATCACATGCTAAATTCAACATCAACCAAAATAAAAGGAGTTTGTATATATGAGTTTCATCTTGTATATTTATTTATCTTTTTTTTTGTATCAGCCTCTTCTACCTGCCTATGTTTTGCCTCTTGTACTCACTCTCTCTTTTTATCTTTCTATTGATTTGTTTTTATATTTATCTATTAAAATATTTATCTATTTAATTATCACTTAATATATTTATCTATTAATCGCTCCTTGCTCTTTATCTACCTCTCATTTTTATATCTATGTATTTTTCTATCCAACTCATCTCTCTCTCTCTCTCTCTCTTTCTCTCTTTCTCTCTCTCTCTTTCTTTCTCGCTCACACTCACTCACTATATTTAAAGGGTGAGGGTTAGCATATAAATATGAAACATTTCATGAAATCCTCATGAAATCAAAAAATATACATCATGGCCCGAAATCATCAAGCATCAGTAAAACGTTACTCGAAGCAGTATAGATAGAAAAAACTATAAAATGAAAAATTTCTCTGCAGGTGGACAATTTTGAATACAACAACTTTCTTGTGACTCAAATGGTTCACAGAAATAAAATGATCTAAAAAATGCAAAATTTTATAAAAATCTACTTGTTCTGCGTATCATTCCATTTTATATGTATGTATCTCTCTATCCATTTTCTCTCTCTCTCTCTCTCTCTCTCTCTCTCTCTCTCTCTCTCTCTCTCTCCTGTCGTTATTTTTTAATTCAGAGTCCTATGGGTTTTCTTTCTTTAGCTCTTAACCCTTATCTATTGTTTGTGCCCATCTGTGCTGAAGGTTTTCTTTTTTTTATGAGGTAGAGAATTCTTTTCAGGAGTATGGTATCTAGAATTGTATTTAGCTCTGATATCTAGATTATAGTTCAAGAAAGGCCCAAGTACCGTAGCGTTTACATAGCTATTGCGGGGATGTTCCATAGGAAATGTTGTGTCGTTTATGTCTCTTTTCCTTTCCCTGTACCTTACTTATTAATTTATTTCTACAAACCTATATTTTATTATCTGTTTATCTCTAGCACGTACATGCTGTTCCACCCATTCTCTCTCTATCTCTCTCTCTCTCTCTCTCTCTCTCTCTCTCTATATATATATATNTATCTATCGATTTATCTCCATTTGTCTATATATTTATCTCTCCCATATTCAGCTCATCCCATTGTAACGTTAATTTATTAACTTATTTAGAGGGGTTCGAGTTCCTTATAAGAAAATAATATTCTCTCTCTCTCTCTCTCTCTCTCTCTCTCTCTCTTTCTTTCTCTCTCTCTCTCTCCTCTCTCTTTCTTCTTCACACAGAACTTATATAACTATCTCTATTTATCAATCAATCTATGTACCAATTTATCTCTATATTTAACTACTTCTATTTTGTTATCTTTATATCTCTCGCTCTCATACTGTATTCTCTCTCACTATTTACCCATTTATCATTTTGTCTATCGTTTTTTATCAGTTTAACTCTCTATTTCTGTATGTTATGTATTATTTATCTATATTTCTATCAGCCTGTTCTACCTGTTTACTTCTTGCTCTCTATTTAATCCTCTCTCCCTCTATTTGTCTGTCTATTTTTCTGTGTATCTCAGTTTATATTTTACCTATATCATCACTATCTACCTTTCAAAATATTTAAAAGATATTTAAATATCCGCGCGTACAAACTTGTGAAAAATTTGAAATAAAATGTGTCACCTGATCAGTAGCTCATATGGTATTCCATCATTTTTAAGACGCTTGAAACTATACAATGAATGTAATTAGAATTGGTCCTGATTTGAACATAAAAAGTTTAACATTAGTAATTTTTGTGTAACAAATACTAGCTCATATTCTGTTAGATAGAACACATGAAAAATATTGTAAAAAAAAAATAAATAAAAAATAACTTCAATTTGTCTGCATCTTAATCTTGATCTTGTTCTACTATGGTCGCTTATGCAATCGGGATAATTTTTACAATTGCCAGACAATAAATTGAATTGATGACGAAGATTAAGGCACAGAATAAATTTTATTTTTGATGGTTTCAACCGAAAAACCAACAGGGAGCATCGGATGATGGATTCAAGATCGATTGGGCTGTGGAAATATCCTGAGGAAACAGGCGATTAGCCTGAACAAAGAACAAAAGGGCCACTTTCCTCTATTTTATTAAAATCAATTGAATTAATGTTTGTCATTCAGGGGGTGGAGGTCTTGCAGATTAGCTTATCCGCACGGGTATCATAGCATCTCGTCCCACGGTGAGCCGGCATCCGGGTCAACGGGATGCAAATTCAAACCGGCGCCGGTGAAAATATCGCGGATTACCGGCACGTGGAGTTTTCTCCACTCATCCAGGCGCAAAAGTTCGATTATCCATCCCAGTGGGCGATTATTCATTAGTCCCGGTCGGTTATTAATTTCGAATAAATGGGCCTGGCTTTTCTTGTTATCTCTGGGGGCGTATTTTGCATTCTTTATTAATACTAATCATTGCCAATCTCAGGGCCTTTGTTGTCGCAGGTTGGGAAGATAATAGCAGTGAAAATATGCCCACCAGAAGGGATCTCTTAAAGTAAATTGGCTTCATCAGGACTAGGTATCAAAGAACTTAAATTCAACATGGAAATTTTAGAACATCAAACTTTATTAAATATAAAATTATTTCAATTAATTATTCTTTTTATGTAAGAACTTGGTTGAGATGAAAAGTGAGTGTTCTAGTGTGTTAGTGTTTCTATACAAAAACCAATATTTTTCAACTTCTGGGTGATTTTTTTTTATTAACCTTTATGTAAGGTATTGGTTGAGATAGAAAAGTCATTGCCACGAGCGGGATTCGAACCCACGACCTTTGGCTCAATACGCCGCTGCTCTAACCAGTTGAGCTATCGTGACAATCAAGCGGTTAGAACAGCGGCGTATTGAGCCGAAGGTCGTGGGTTCGAATCCCGCTCGTGACAATAACTTTTTCATCTTAACCAAGACTTTACATAGAAAGAAAAATTAATTGACATAAGTAATTCGGTCAATTAGACCACTAAACATAAATGGATTAATATAAAAATTATGTTAGCTTGTATTGTTGTTGTTTTTCTATCTCATAGTGTTTCATGAAAGTGTGCATTCATAATAGCTGAATAAGGGGGAGTGTTAGCACCCCGAAATCGATATTGTTTTAAAACATAAGACTACTTTTTATGAAAAGTGTGTTTTTGGTTGTCTCTGTCTGTGGAATTCAGTGGCAAGGATAAATAATTATTAAATGTAATATGCTAATCCGATGTCTTCAGAAATGTGTTTAGTAAACAAACACATTATTTATTAAATCAATTAAAGGTTTAATAAGCAAGCTCAAGAATAGATAATTTACTATAATTTAATGAAAAATGATGTTAAAACTTTCAATTAATTAATAGAAATGATGAATGGTGAAGTGAGTGCGGTGATAAATTTTTTTAAAAAGGTAGTTCCTTAGTTAGTTTTTAACTCATCATTAGGTTGAAGTTCTACAACCTGATGATGAACTAAAAGCTCGAAATCCGGATCGTTGTAAACAACTTACTGTGAGTAGGAAGTATCTTTTTAAAAGGATTCAATTAATTTTTTTATGTAAGGAGAGATATAAAATTCAGCGTCACGAGCGGGATTCGAACCGACGACCTTCGGCTCAATACGCCGCTGGTTTAACCAATTAAGCTATCGTGATTTCGATCCTCGCGGACACCAACTCTCCATCTCAACCTACAACCGTTCGATTTTCTCTCTTTTTACTATTTGCAAAAGTCGTGTAATCACGATTCGATTCTCAGCGACTTATGAAGTGGTCACGGGGTTTTGTGTTCTTTTACTTATTAAATATTAATCCATTTACGTTTTAGTTGTCAATTGACCATTAAAGCGTAAATAGATTATGTTAAAATTGAAATAGTGTTCCGGTCAAAATCGAGATGATGGGTTATTTTTCATTCACAGGCTGGATTACACTTTTTTTTTTTTTTTTTTTTTTTTTTTTCCTTACCGTAGGTATTAGCCATCAGCCAGATAGTTTGTTGCTTATTTGAGCTATACTTATTATACATATATACATACGCGTACACACACATACATATATATACACATACACACACATACAGCTATTGCAGCGAAATAATATAATTTATATAATATATAAATACACAATTCTACACATATTCACATATATATACAAATTATACCTACATATGTACAAACGTGCATGTACATAAAAATACCTATTCACATATAGACACACTAATATAAACCTGTTTATATTTACATAATATAATTTAATTTTGATTATTCATTCTGCAGATTATTATTTATATTTAATAATTGATATTGGAACATTGTATTTACATTTATTGTTCTGGATTACACTTCAATCGCACAAAGGCTGTAATTATCAATTTTCCCTTACTTTCTTCTTTTTTCACTTTTTCATCCATGTTTGGATGCGAAAACGGGTTCGAACCCGATCGAGAAGTACGATCATACTCTGCACAGAGAGGATCAGTTTCCATCAGGCAGACAAGATGTATAAACTGTAATTATCTGTTTTTACGTTTTGTTTTCCCTTTTCATGCTGGCAGTTCCTTGATTGTATGGATACATCTTACGTAAGAATTATGAACATGAAAGTGAAAACGTATTTGATTAACGGTAATGATAATGTCTGCAGCCCTTGCTGTTTATCGGCGATCAAATGCCAGCAAATCACTCAAATATATGCGAGAAGTGGTTGATGTAAGATTAATAGGGAAGATTAAAGCTGATTTATTTTTTCGGATATGTGTTTTCCCTGTTTTGGTTTTTGATTTCTCTATATCCATTTTTATCGGGTTAGTTTTGAAATAGCGCATTCAGCATCAAAACTGCTTTTACCGAGGTTTCTAATGGGTTTTGTCTTTGACCCCTGCAGGTGTACCAGAGGACCAGGTTCGCCGCTGACATCCCTCCGGCGAAGAACAACGTCGGGAAGGAGAAAAGGAGTGGAGGGGGCCTTGGAGAATCATTCCGCAAGTTAGTCGGCAAGCTCAGAGGGAACAAGAAGGCAGGAAGCCAAGTCGATTCCGGTACCCAGACCAGAGGTGATATGACGACCGTCCACAGGTACTACTTGGGCGAAGATCCTTTTTCGACAAGCCTCTACGGAAGGGAGAGCGAATACCCGAACCCGAGCTACAGACGTAGCAAAAAGAAAGAAGAAGAAAAGTAAGCTTGCAACTTTTCATTTAAACTTTGTATACAGTCTCATTTTTATAGCCCTTGTTTCGTAAGGATTCACGTGAATATTAATTATTCTACTTTTAAACGGAAGAACAGTATATTTTTTTTGTCATATTAAATATCATGAAATATCAATAATTTGGATCATGAATTCTCAAAAAAAAAAAAAAAAAAAAAAAAAAAAAGACAATTATTTGTTGAATCACCATAAATATGGTATAATGAGAGGTTTGTGAGATCCATAGAATTTTATTGGAGAGAATTAATTAAAAAAACGTTAACAAACGTTTACATATTTAATATTTAATTAATACGTTAATATTTAATTTATTCTTTCATGAAAAACTACTTCTCTCTCTCTCTCTCTCTCTCTCTCACTCTCTCTCTCTCTCTCTCTCTCTCTCTCTCTCTCTCTCTCTCATCCTCTAACTCACTCTATCTCTCTACTTATATCACACTCTTCATTTTCCTATCTGTTCATCTATCCCCATATACAAGGTGTCCTTTTTAGATGGCTCTGCTGAATTTCTTTTGAACCAATGATGCTAACGAAAAAAAATAAAATAGGTGTTTAATATTTTTTATTCGTTTCAAATTTTTTGGTTTTTGAGAAAAATTATACAGGTTACCACAGAGGCTCAGCTCAACTTTAAAATTTCAAATGCGAATATACATCCTGATACGGAAAAGGAATTTTTTACGCTGAAAATAATGGTGCAATCGGATTTTAAATTGGCCAAAAAATGACAAAGTTATGACAAAAAGTTTGAAAAAAAAAGAATTTCGTTTATTTTGTTGTTAATTCCAATAATTTGCTCGTTCATTAATGTAAACCTTAATTACCTTCATTGTTTATATTCTATCATTGTTTGTCGAACTCGCATTAGTATTATTATTACATTCAGTATTCCATTCAAAATGAACCGAAGAGCATATTTTTTCGATCAACAGCGTACCACTGCTTTATTGATAGAGGTGGTATTGCGCGTCGTGTAGTCGAGTTGTTCTCTCAAAAATTTCCTTATCGCCACACAAGGTTTATTCGTGTTGCTCGCAATATGAGGAGATACGGATCAGCTGTTCCATCACCAAGAAACCGGGAGCGTAATTTCGGCGAGGAGCTGGATATTTTACTGTTTGTTCGCGAAAATCCAAATTATCGCTCTCATCTTTTCCAGTGACTTCTCTGAATCAGACAGGCGTCTAATGCTCCTTGAACAAATGTCGATTTGGGAGGCTGAAGAAAACGCTCTTCCATACATTCTCTGGACTGATGAATCCAAGTTCACCTCAAATGGCATACTTAACCGTTGGCATTTTCAAAAGTGGGCAGAGGAAAATCCGAGAATTTTGTACTCTTGTCATCATCAGGCGGTTCACAGTATTAACGTTTGGTGTGGTCTTCTCGGAAATTTAATCGTCACTTATTACGAAAAAAATTAAATGGCGCTCAGTTGCTCAATTTTTTGAGGGAGGTTTTACCAACACTATTAGATCATTTTCCTCTGCAACAACGACAAAGAATGATTCGCCAGCTTGATGGATGCTCGACACACAATTCTTGCAGGTGAGACGTTATTTGAATCGTCACTTCCAGGATGAATGGATCTCATGGCCCGATCTGTTGGCGTCCTCGGTCACAAATCTACTTGGCTATTTTCTGGGAGGCTATTAAAAAAAATAAAAAACAGTATCTACCCCAATCATAACCCAGCAACCTCAGAAGAAGAACTGCGGCAACGGATAGAAAATGCTTGTCAATCCATCTCCCCTGACTCTATTGCTCTGAGCACCGGTGAAGTGTGGCTAAAAAGAGCAAATCTTAACAACGCAAGGCAGTTCGAACCTGAAATGGATCATTAAATAGCGAACCAAATGACCAATTTAACATCCGATTGTTTTCAGCGTAAAAAATCCTTTAAAATGATGCGTCAGGATGTATAGGGTTGAATATAAAATTTTGAAGTTGAACTGGGCCTGAGGCTTAAAAATTGAAACTACACTAAAAAATATTAAACTCTTTTTTTTGTTAGCGTTTTTGGTAGAAGAGAAATTCAACAGGTCCATCTAAAAAGGACACCTTATATATATTTATTGGGTTGTCCGGAAAATAATGCAGGATTTTAAGTTTTCATTAAAAAAAATCTATATAAAATATTCTGTTTACGTTTACAGGATTACTCATTTGTCCTCTTCCAAATGATATTGTTTGTTTACCTCTGTAGCATTCCGCTACTTGGAAATAATTCAGTCATCCTTATAATGTCAAAGCGAGAATTTCGTACGATTTTCTTTTACGAGTTTAAACTCGGCCGAAGCGGAGCCCAAACGGCTAGAAACATTAACCAAGTCTGGGGCGAGGGTTGTGTTAATGAGTGCACTGTGCAAAGGTGGTTTAAAAAATTTCGGGAGGGAGATTTCAGCCTTGAAGATGAAGAAGGTCGTGGAAGGCCTTCCTCTCTTAATGATGATGTTCTGCGATCAGTGGTGGGTGCAGAGCAACTCAAAGTCAGTAAAACGACCGTCGCTGACCACCTCAAGGCGATTGGAAAAGTGAAAAAACTCGAAAATTGGGTTCCACACTCATTAAACGATCGCCAAAAAAATCAGCGCTTTGATGTTTGTGCATCACTTCTTTGTCGAAACAAAAATGACCCATTTCTGGCCAGAATTGTTACATGTGACGAAAAGTGGATTCTCTACGATAACACTAGACGTTCTGGACAGTGGCTCGACAAAGGAGAAGCTCCAATACATTTTCCAAAGCCCCCAACTCATCAAAAAAAGGTAATGGTTACGGTATGGTGGGCTTCATTTGGTTTAATACACTACAGCTTCTTAAATCCTGGCGAAACCATCAATGCTGAATCATACTGTAACCAAATTAATACCATGCATCAGAAATTGGCAGTAATGAAGCCCTCTTTGGTCAATCGGAAAGGGCCCATTTTGTTGCATGACAACGCTCGACCACATGTGTCACGTGTAACGTCACAAAAATTATTGGAGCTTGGCTATGAAACTTTGCCTCACCCACCCTACTCTCCGGACCTCTCGCCTACTGACTACCATTTTTTTAGACACCTGGACCACTACTTACAACACATAATATTCAAAAATCAAACGGAACTGGAAAATGCATTTATTGACTTTATCAATTCTAAAAATTCTGAATTCTACTCAGACGGAATTAATAAGTTACCAACACGTTGGGAGAAATGTATTGAGAGTATGGGAAATTATTTTGATTAAAGAACATTGCTTTAAAGTAACTAGTTTCTTTTTTTTTGTTTAATACCAAAATCCTGCATTATTTTCCGGACAACCCAATATCTATTAATCTATCTGTTCCTTCTATCTATCTATCATTTATATTTGTCTTTCTATCTCTTCCGTTTTTATTTATCTATTTTTTCGATCTGTATATATCAATTTATTTATTGATTATAAATATATCTATCTACATATTTATTTAAAACATCTATTTACCTGTTAATCTCCCGTCTCTCTTTTTCTATTTATAAATTATTTATTAATGCTCTCTCTCTCTCTCTCTCTCTCTCTCTCTCCGCTCTCTCTCTCCTCTCTCTCTCTCTCCTCTCTCTCTACTCTCTCTCCTCTCTCTCTCTCTCTCTCTCGCTCTCTCCCTCTCTCCCTCTCACCCTCACTCCCTATCACCTTCTCACCCTCTCACCCCCTCTCAACCCCTCTCACCCTCACACCCTCTCACCCTCTCACCCCCTCTCACCCCCCTCTATCTCCTCGATCTTGTTCCCTATCTACCCATCTACCTTGCAATCATTATTTTATTCTTTGTATCGTTAAAATATTGTAACAAGAACGTCAATCGAAATTGTCCTTCAAGGTGAACGGGAAACAACGCCCAATTAATTTTTGACGTTGATATCCTCATAGTATGAATATCCATTTCTTAACCAGTGCCTATTATTTTTAACACTGACAGCCATTGACACCTTCTAATTACGTTGATTAGCATGCTTTTTCACTAGTCTGATATTCTTTTTTTAAGTAGGATTAAAAGGGATTTTAAGGCGCTAGATGAAACAGAAAATAGTTGAGTTTCTTTCAAAATGTTAATTGTTATTGATGGTTTGTAAGGTCTTTGTTTATTTGTTCGTTTCTTGTTTGTATGATTTCGCGTCTTTTAAATTTTATTTCCTTGTCGCATATTTTCAACATGTCAGTTATAAGTAGTACCTATGATTCAGACTTAATTTCTTGGTAGTGTGATAATTTCTTCTTGGATAATGTCTTACGTAACCCAGGACGACGTTTTAGGGACAACGCTATTTAACAATTTAACCAGCGGTGTATTGCTCAAAGCCCTCTGAAAAAGTCGAACTACATTTTCGGCTGTCTTATTTAGTGTCGACATATCTGCTTTCGTTTTTTTAATTGGGCGATTTTTTTACATAACGGTGCGCCAAAACGGGCGAAATTTCCCCCGCGCCTTTTTATGCAAATGGCAAGTGGTAAACTATGTTGCCGACTAAGTGGCCTCCTCGAAAGCGTATGGAGCAGAGCTTGATTTTGTTTCGCCAGAAACGGCGAACTTTGATGAAAGTGAAGTTATGTTTCAACAAAACTGGGATTACAACAATGCGGGAACATATCGGGCTATATAACAAACACCTAAGTCCTAACATGGCAAAAATGTACGACTAATGAATTTAATAATATCACTCCTGTTTGAATAATTGAGATTCATTGAGAGAAGGACATAAAGAAAAACCCAAGGATATACATTTTTATTAGATGTAAGTAGTATGCTAAAAATAGATTTTAACATCGAGTAAAATAGAGCACAAATAACTCGTGGCTGCACTAAACAATCATACCTTTTTATGTATATATGTAAAATACATACATATACTATGTAAAACGATCATGCTTCTATTCTTATTCTCCACAAGAGTAAATATTTCCAGCTTCCCCATAGATATTATTATTCTCTTCTTCAGAGG